CGGCCGAACCGGGATCATATATTATGTTCCGGCCGTCATCCGCGAGCTCTACCATGGTGGGCCAGTGGTTCACTGAGGGTTTGTTTGGCATCTCATCCCAGGGCCCACGCGCGCACGCCCCCACATCCGAAGCTAGCGAGGCGTTTGTGGCGAAAACACATCCATCCAACCGGTTGAGGATGAGAAGATCAAGAAGCTGGATGAGACCTTGAAGAGGCATGGGAATGACAGTTGCATGCAGAGGGCAGTTTCCAGATGATTAGCCGAAAGACGCGACATCACGCGACCCTCAGGCTGTCTCAGAAGGTCTTCCGGTGGCAGGAGGAACTTCCCTGTGTTGTTGGTAGCAGGAACTTACCTGTGTCGTTGGTCCGGAGTTCCAAAAGACTCACTCCACTGATCGTAGGAGATCATGGGGTACTTCGAAGATGTCGAGGGTCCCAAGTGCACCGGCGGAATCAAAGCTTTCAAATCCGCTATCCGCATTGAGAAACAAGTCACCAGCAGGCTGTGTCGACTGCTGGATGCAAAGGTATTCTCCCCTCATGAATATCAAGCTGGACCTTCCGCAGCAAAGACCGTGCGCGAAACCACGAAACTACACAGTGTCCTCGTGACACTAAGGACCGGTCCAGGGATGAGCGTGGGAAGGGCGACTCAGAACAGGAAGGCTCGGCAGGTCATGAAAGCAGTTCTTGCTGCGTCGCGAATTGCTTCTTTGGCCCAGAAAGTGATGACGTCGCTACATCATCAGCACCTCCCCCAGCCAGTTAGGGCGGCTTGTCGTCACCGCACTGAGAGTGGGCCGCAAAAGCGAAGATTCGCCCCGTGATGTCCTGGACGATGCCCCGCCCGTTGGCGTCGGGAACCTTCGCAGCGACTTGTGAAGTGACACGTGGGCACTGCCTCTTTCTGCAGGCGCAAAAAGATCTCGCTTGCTGAGCCATGTCGATCTCTTGTCCACTGTTGTGTGTGTGTGTGACTGCATGACTTTATGATATTTCCTGAAGTCATGAGCGATCACGCATGCACCAAGCCGCGTTCTTGCTTGTCGCGATGTACTGTTGTCCATGTCGAAGCAGGGAAACAGGGAGCCTGCCTCAAGCTTTGAGATGTATATATCTGCTGCAGGGCAAGCTCAGGACGTACGAAACGATGCACCGGGATATGAATCCCAAGCATACGGGGACGCGTGCACCTTGCCAGAGGGTACACATGAGATTTAGTGACTGATGCTGAAAATCCGACTCCTTTCGAAATGCGAACCACTGCGATCTTGCGCATTAGCCGGAGATGTTCTGGCAGAAGCAAAGAATGCGATGCTTGGGAACCGATCGGCGGCGAAACAGGCGTTGGATGCTCAGCGGACCAATCCGGAGCTCTAGATCTTCACCCCAAGCACGCATCGTCAGATGCAGGAGGCACAAAGGCCTTCCACGAATTGGGTTTTCACACACGGGGGCTCGTGTCTCAAATCCTCCAATAGTTCGCCAATGAACATTCAGATGAGTAGCATGGAAGAAGCGGCGACTGGAATCACGTGCTGAAAGAGAGGGAAAGCCGGAGAGGCCGACTCGGCTGCGAGCGTCCGGAGCGTAAGGGTCGACCGTGGGGCCGGGGACGTTGGCCGGGCCCCAGGGCCAGGGCCCCCACGCGCGCCACGCGCGCCCTCCACCCAACTTCCCAGTTTCTGGCAGAACTGGATATGCCAGCCTCGCAGGTTGAGTGGTTTGAAGGGCTTCGGTGCTTTCAGCGCCATGAACCAGGGCACTGTGATGAGGCGGCGTGGAGTTGACTTAGCGGGGTGAACGAGCTAAGAGCTTCATGCCTCCATGCGTTCAGGGCCGTGGCCGTGACGGAGGACAATCCGCGGTCACGGTTTTCGAAGGTGGTGCAGGCCACGGAGGCGCAGCCGGAGCACAGCGCGACTCACATGTCAAACGTCTCGAAACCTCAGCAACGACCTTCAACCTCCAGCTTTGCAGACTCCCTGCCCGAAAGATATCACGGGCAGAACAAGCGTCTAGCTAGTCGCATCTGCAGTTTGACACGGTCGCAAGCCTCTGGAAACAGTCCTGTGCCGGCAAGGAGCGCAAGTCTCTGAAATCGCTTTTCGGCTAGAGCCAAGGATCTGGCAAAGCCACTTTCCGACAGCTCTGTCGTCACTTCTGCCCGGAGCAAGAGTCTCCGGTGCCAAGGTGTAGCATGTCCGGCGGTGCTGACTGGCGCATGGCTGAAAAGCTGAGCCTCTCCAAGAGAGCGGAGAGCGGAGTCCGAAGCATGGCCCAACTCTCGCCAAGGCTCAAGTTCAGGCCCGTTTCCTGCCCTTTCCTGCCCTCCGAAGCAAGGGTCGGGCGCAGGATCACAGCAGGCCAAGCATGTGCAGACCGAACCAAAGCCGTGCTTGGCGCTTGCGACAGGTTTCTCGCACAGCTTCTCATGAGTTATGCGACTGTACTTTTTCATTTTGCTGACGGCCTTGTGCCAAGCTCAGCTGCTGAGCAAGAGGAGCAAAGCCGGTCTTTTGCGTGGTCGACCAGTCTCGCGCCTCAGGAGTTGTGCACAGTCTGTGCGCGACATTGTCGATGAAGACGAGGCTCGGCCGTGACCGCCACCGCATGCGACGTAAAGAGTGCAAAGACAGAGAGAGTGGGCTCCCCGCGCGCACGCGCGCTTTTCTCTTCGAGCAGGTGCTCGAGTCGCATGCACTGGCCCGGTCCCCACGTTTTGCAGTCGTGAATGCCTGGCGACCGTCGCCAAAGGCTGTGCTTTTCTCTGCTTGCCTTGCCTTTTCAGGAAAGGCGAGCTGCCAGACATGGGCCCTCCAGACACGAGGCTTGGCTCGATCCGCCTTTGCGCTTATCGGAAACTCCTTCGGTCCTCGATGCTGGGACCTTTAATGCATCGTGTTGGGCTGGAGGCCAGGGGCAGTGGCAGTGGCCCTGAGCCTCATGAATCTGACGACAGCGGCCTCGACGAGGCACGGCAGCCGACTCTCGTGTTTTTCGTGCGACCCATCCCGTGAAGGATGAAGACGATGATGCCGGTGGGTCGGAGAGACCCTGGGATGCCCTCAGAATGCCTCATGTGATTAGTTTCGACGTTCCGCAGCCGTGCTGTGCGGCGAGCCAAGGAGAAAAGGATGCATTCGAAGGCACGGCAGAGGATAACGTTCAGATCGAGGGTGCCGTGGAAGAGTTCAACGATGCCGGGCTCTCAGCTTCACCAGCAGCGGCTTGAAATTTACACTGGTGATAAGAAAATGCCGGAGCTGTGAAGACTACTCTTGGGTCCAGGCTACGAAGGACGCGGAGAAGAAAGCCAAGTTGGTAGACAAGAATTTCGCCAAATATAATGGGAGGCAGTTGCTTGCTTACTGCGGCATGCTGCTAATTCCAAGAGCATCCGAAGTTTTATGCAGGTTGGGCGAGCTTCAAGATCAGTTGCGCAAGTTATCGGCCATGGCGAGAAGCATCTCCGCCCGTTTTTTCAAGTTTGCTTTCGTTCCGCCTCTATATCCCCGGCTCCAAGGCTACCACCTGCAGACGATCAAGTGGTTCAAGAATGCTGAGCAAGACAAGCCACTCGATTGCAACACAAATCCCGCACAGTCGGCGTAATTTGTCTGCAGCAGGTACTCTCCCATTGCCAACATGCCGCTGGACACGTTCAAAATATCAAAAAGCAAGGACGATTTTCCTCTGGAGTCTGTGTCGTAGCGGAGGTACCTGAACGTCCGAAGCGGTCGAAAAGTGGAGAAAAAGATCTGGTGAATCCGGTCCATCCGGCCTCTGCTGGAATGGAGACCATGTAACTTTGACAATCGGCAGCCATTCGGGCTCCTGAACCTGCGGGTCGGTTTGCAACTTTGCCGCCACAGCAAGCCTGTAACAGGGTTCAAAAACGTACCGAAATCACGTCTTGGGTGTGCTGCAGATGTCTGAACTCGCCGAGCCACGCCTCTGCCATGAGCGTGCGAAATCTGGCGACCTTCCTTCCAGACACGCACTTCGGTCTCTGGCTGGATCTCTTGGAGATGGCTGCACTCCCGCGTCGAGGGGAGGATTTGCTGCTCTCTGGCGCTCGGCAGTCGGTGGCTGAGCAGTGATGAGGACGGGCACTGAAGAGCCTTGGCGCTTTCTAAGGTTGACCCCATCGTGCTGGGATGTCAGGCGCCAATGTGTGGAACTGACATGGAGACGGGTTACACTGCCTCACATGACAGGTCCCATTGCGACGAGAACATATCTCAGAGCTTGTACTACGTTGATCCCGTCATCTCTGCATTTGCGCGGTTGGTGGGTTCCTTCCCGCGTGTGGCAGCTCTCCATTGGGAGGCACGGGCTTGTTGAGGCCTAATTCGGATTGCGGTTGCAGAGAGGCCTTGGTGCCGTGGTCAGGGGATGTTTTCGCGTGTGATGGCATGCGACGGCGGCCTGTGGAGCTTGTTGGGATTAGGCAGAAGACAGAGCTCTTTTTTGAGCTTTGGGTTCGTCTCAAGGTCATGCCTTGGAGCTATCAGCGCTTGAGCTGGCCTCCCCATGAAGTTGTTGCTGCCGAGCGCTCTTTGGCAGTGTCTCGCCTGCACGGGAGACATCCAAAGAGCCTGCTGGGCATCGTCGGGGCTATGCTGGGCTGTGACCCTCGTGCCGGCACCAGGTGCCGCAGCTTCTGCCTCGCCCTCTGCGAGTATGCGCTTCTGGATGGGGTCGCTGCGATTCCTGGCATCAACATTGCACCCCTGCAAAGGTCCCATTTACGTTTGGCCGCACAAGAGGAGGGTGTTGAAGCTGAGGACACCTATTCACGGGGCACTGGAAACTGCCGAATATCGACACCTGCTGCACGCGAGGCAAAAATAACGAGAGAGCCTCTGCAGCTCGTGCATGACAACTGTCACGGGGAAGAGTGGGACTCCAGGCCCGGTGGAGCAACGACCAATAAACATGGTGCCATGATGTTCCGTGGTTCCAAGTGCGGGAGACTCTTGCTCCCTTGCTGCTGTTTGCAGGAGAAAACCTCGCTTGATGCACTGTCCCTTGAATGCACCTTTGGCTGTTCGACCAGTTTCCAAGTCCGGCTCTCTTTCCGTGGCGCGGTGGATTTTGCAAATCGACGCGCCCAAAGCGCGTGACCTTGCTTTGATGGCTTCCACCTGGAGACCCTTTGACGCCAACAAGGAGCGGTATTTCGACTGGGCTTCTCGCTGGGTAAGAAGAAAGGGGTCGGCTACGAGGGAGCAGGACGCGGAGCAGGACGCGAAGGACATGGCCCTGAGATCCCGCTTCGGCCAAGAATCCTCCGGCCAGATCTTGGCACCCTCTGCTTCGGGTTGCCTGTCACTCGGCCACGCTAAGTATATAATGGATAATATATAACATAACGAAGGACTGGATACCCCCACATGCGTATTTTAGCGAAAGGGTTGGCAGCAATTCCATTCACAGAGAGCGAAAGCTAAGCGAGAAGAGTAAACGGGTGAGGCGTGAGCGCGGCGGGGGGGAAGCGCATGCAGGACGCGAACGACCCGATCGAGATGGCGCGGACGCACGGGGACGGAACTCACTTGCGATGCACATTTAAAGTCAATGCAGCAGCTCAGGGCCCGCGCTTCTCATTTCGAGTTGCGTGGATCAATTCAATTTTCAAGTAAATGCTGCGCCTGCTATAGGAACCCCGAAGCGCGCTCGGGGGTGGAGGGGCGCCACCAAATGCTGCGCCTGCTGGGAATCCCCAAGCGGAGTTTCCAAGGGCGATCGGGCGGGCGTTGCGCAGGGGCGGGTGGGACGCGAGACGCGCGCGGGCGGGACGCGGGACGCGGGACTGCGGGACGCGACGCGGGCGGACGCCAAGCAGAAAAGTAAGAACCCCATGAAGTGTTATCAGATAGTAATATAATTTAATAATGTAACCATATCATAATATATTCGTATAGCAACCAGTAATGTAATAATCAAAAATACATCAACTTTTTTTATATATGATCTACCACCTTTTTTGTTTTTTTTGTTGTTTTTGTCAGGACCTGTTGCCGGCTTGGCGTCGGGCGGCTCAAGGTCATCTTCGTCCGGAATCCCTACAAGCGCCTGGCGTCTGCCTACCTTTCCGTCTTCCTGGAGCCGTGGCTGGCTTTGGGTTTAGGGTTGTGCAAAAAGGGTGTACTAGAGAGAAGCAACAACAGCTGCCGCTCAGGCTGTTCTGTAGGCTGTTTACCAGTGTTAAGCTGTGATGCAGACAGATCTGGGCGATAGGGCTCTGAGTGGTTCGGATCTTGGAAAGTAGCTTGGAGCTCTTTCAACTTGCTTTCCCAAGCTCGTGAGTTGTGGACTGAAGACCGAGTTCCCTGAAATCAGATGATAACCCAAAATGACTTTTAGCCAATGCTGCCACACATGACTGGTTCTTTCTTTTAGGAGTTCCGCTTCTTAGCCGGGTACTGCCGCTCGGACACTTGACGCTTGAAGCTCTAAAGTCCCGACCGCGTGCGGACCTCGCGAACAACCAGGATCGAGCACGACTTGCCGGGGACATGGTTATCAACGGTTTCAGAGGCACGAACTCCAGTGTTGAGCCACTTGGCTGAGGTCGGGGCAATTTCATGTGTGTCATCGTGGCTTCGTAGGAGTCGTTTCCGCTACTCGAAGTGATTGCAGGACCGACTTTGGGTACTTTCTGTGTTTCATGGCATCGGCGATTTTCCCTTACGGCTTGGCTGGGGGCGTGAATGACAGACTCGGAATCGACTTCCTGATGCCAGGCAGATCAACCCGTAGACTGCTTCTTGGTGAACTAGCGGCAGCCAGCCACCTGCTACATGCAGTGGTGCCTTGAGGCGGATCTTGGGCAAGAATTCGCATGATGCGGTCAATGCTGTATGGCATCGGAATCCATGCCGGCACCTTGTACGAGGAGTTAAACAGAGACTTGTCTTGTCTAGCCCATGAGGGTAATGATGCAGCAACCTGAATCCCGACAAAAGAAGAGCCGAAGAGCTTGTCGTAAATCCGAGTATCGTCGCCGCACAAGCTACTGGAGAAGGCATTCTTGTGTTCAAATCTGTCTTGTAGGCTTGCTGTGAACTTCGGCTTGCCATTCCGAAATAGTGGTCGCGTTGGATTGCCTGGATACATGCCCATGCGCTGGTAAATCGAAGTCTTTCTCCTCACTCTGGCAGGGGAGCAACTCCCGACCTGTTTCTATAGAGGCCATCTCCATGGAAGGCAACAGAAAACTGTGAAATGGACAGGTTGTTTCAAGGTTGCAGTCTGGTGAACGAAGACGTTTGCTGCTTGTCAGATGGGCTTGATTCCGCGCACCGCCGCCCTCGTGGAGGTTAGTGTGCCTGCAACGGGAGTTTGTGCCGTGTTCTAATCGTGTGCCGACCCTGAGAAGGGGTTTTTCAAACTTTCGAAGGACAAGCCCTCTAAGGCTAAACTCGTATCCTTATCGCGACAGAGTCTGCAGAAGCGTCGGCTGCTACACTGTTGCTACAGAAATTGCGACTCAAAGTCCATCGAGTTCGATGGGGTTCGATTCATCTGCAATCGACGGCGTATGCCGTCTTCAGGTGTGGACGTTGCTAGGAGTGCCACGTGAAGAGCGGGCGATTTTGGCACTGCCTAGCTGTTTCGAACCATTTCGGAAAATTGCGCTCGTCTTCACTTCACTGTACCTTTCGTGTGTGTTGCAAGTCTTCCTGACTGCTCCGAGGAACTGCCGACCTCCACGAATTCCATGTAGTTTGGCTCCCAGCAGCTTCTTTCGGTCCGGGAGCGAAGTTCGAAGGCGGCGCCCTTGATTCTTTGACGTGTGGATTTCAAGGTTCACTTGGAGAACATAGAGGAGGACATAGGGGAAATGAAGCGAAGACTGTGCAAGGAGTTCAACTTTTGCAGGCCTTGGCAGAGCATCTGCATCCATGTTCAGCCCTGCTGCTTCAAGAAGCTGCTGGCGCTAGGCCGTTGCCACCTCTACGAACGTGGAACTCCAGGTGGGACCGGCTCCATGCAGGAACAACGTCGACGGGCAGGAGGGACCTACCGTGTTGCACCTCCGACTTGCATAGGTGTTTTTGTACCATCAAATCCTTGTGAGGAAGGCGCGAGCGAGGCAGCGCCAGGCGCTACCTCTCGACGTGCAAGTCCGAGTGCTGCAGCGGTACCAGAAGCACTTGCGACCTGCCAGGAATCGGTAGAGTAAAGCCTACTGTTTCACCTGGGTCCCAAGAGTCTAGTCTGCCACCCTCTGTGCAAGGATGGACCGCTACCGGCCCGACTTTATCTTGTTTGGCTACTCAGAGGACCCAGAGAACATGGACAAAGCGCCTGAGTTTTCGGTGAGCTCTTAGTTAATCGAGGGTTAGCACGCGATGGGAGTTTTTGGGCTGAGGAGTTTAAGTGGAGTCCTTGGCAGAGGATCTGCGATGAAAGAATTTGCAGTCCACATCGGAACCGACTCGACCTTTCCGGTTTTTGTCGATGCAAGGCATGAAGGATCAGTATGAGGGCCGTAACGGAACTAAGACGGCTGGGAAAACACGGCCATTTGTCCCTGGTCTGTAGGAAACGCTAGCCGAAGCCGGACACACAGTCACAGTACCCTCGGACGGAATTATTGCATGCTTGCCAGACTTACATGCACTGAGATAAAGGTTCAACAGGCCGCTAGCGTGACAAGGGTCGGGCCCGAGTATGTGAGTACTGGGCCTATCTTTACAGGCACTCGTCAACCAGGACATTTTCGTTCGCGCGTTGTTGACCTGTCGTAAACTCCTCACGCCCTAACTGCCATCTTGAAAGCCTCCGTCGGGTGCGTGGAAAAGAGATCGGCATCAAGTTCGGCAGGATTTTGCTGTCTTTTGATGTGGTCTTGACAAGCAAGAAGATGTGTCCATTTCTTAACATTCGTGTGCTATGCTGGTTGGTTTGTGACACATGGTGCGGGAGACGATCATCCATTCGCAGTGGTTTAGACAAGAGTGTTCTGGCTTGCATTTGCAGCCTTTGGCTCTGCTGGTGGACGTAGGGACATCTCCTACGCCTGGTTCCCAGGGAGGCTTTCGGTTTCCGGCAAATCGGCATCGCAAGGTCAAGCAGCTGAGGCGTGATGTTGGCGGCATCCGCCACTCGACCTGCAGCACATGCTGCAACAGCCTTGACGCACCGTGCTGTAGCTGGGAGCCCGGCGAGCGCACAGTGTTCTTTGGAAGTTTAAAACTTTCGTGTGCGTGCACTTGCAGGTGCCGGCTCTGTCTAGCAGACCCATAGGTAGCTCGTCATGACATTTGTGCCACAACAGTCAGTGCTGGATTTTGCATGCATCTCTTGAGCCAGGTCGGCTGTCCTGTGATCACACCGTCGGCTGCCTTGTCGTGCTCGGTGTATCCTTGTCGAGCGCAAGGAGGCTAGACGCCTAGCGTTGTTCAGAAAGATCGTTATGGTGAACTTCACCCACACGGGGAGAGAGAGGGAGAGAGAGAGGGGGTCCCCATGCCCGGGAGAGAGAGAGAGGGGGTAAGCCCCTCTTTGGAACCCTTGGGACATAGACCCTCTCAATAAGGTCCCTTTTAAGAGAGCCAAAAGTAGGGTTCAGAAGGGGTACCCTTTAAGGGGTACCCCTAATAATACTACCTACTCTTGTCCCTAGCCCTGGCGAAAGAAGGAGAGGGAGAAAGAGAGAGAGAGAGGGCAACTCCCCACCACAGCCCTTGTGAAAGGAAAGAGAGACGCTCCTCAACTTGCCCTCAAAGCCCCATAACACATAGGGGGCCACAAGGCCAGCGGGCTTAACTCGTTCCCTACGGCCTACGCCCGTTGAAAGAAAGAGAGAGCGTAACCCTTACTTTCCCGCTCGTACTAACCGAAGGGACGAATAGCGTCCTCGAAGGCCCAAAAGCCTCTTCCCTACCGCTTTAACAGGAGGGGGCGCCTAGGCGCGGGCTAACGCAGTTGGCCCGGACCCA